ACATACATATATATAAAAATATATATAAACAAATAAAAAAATATATATATATATATATATATATATATATATATATATATATATATATATATATATATATATATATATATATATATATATATATATATATATATATATATATATATATATATATATTACATTATTTTTCTCTCTATTCTATTGACAATTTTTAAAAAATTTTGAATGTTTTGTTGAATTTTTTTAGATCAGTTTGCAAGTACTTTACCAAGAAATAATTTTGTGCCAGACGGAAGTATCATTGATTCTTTCATTTCTCACGTTGAATCTCCAAGCAAGCTCTTCATCCAGTTTAGACTTGATGTCAGTTTTTCATCTGTATTATATCTTATGTATATATATAAATATATATATATATATATTTCTGAGACACAACACACACAGTAAATATGAATACGCATGAATCCGTGCATCAGACACATCGAATCTTTGCTTTGGATAGAATGGGATTTCTTGCACTTGATGCAAGTTTCTGCAACAACAAAACCAGGCTTTTTAACCATTATATTCACAACAACTTTCAAAACTGGATTTTTATTCCCTTATCATCACAACGGAATAAACATTGACTTCTGTCCAAGTGCAACAAATTTTTTGAGCTGTTTGGCTAAATGTGCTAGTACCTTTCAGATACTGAAAAAGGGCATTATTATTAAATAATATTATATATTATATATATATATATATATATAGATATATATATATATATATATATTTAATTTTATTATGATTGATAAAGGATGTGAAGGATTTTTTTTTAACAATGGTGGATGAAATGGACGATTTCTATAACAACGATGTTTCCGATGTTTATTCCTTCATTCCTGTTGCTATAGGTTTGTCTTCATCAGCTACTTTGCCACTTTTAAATGTTTTCGTCATTCGCCAACCAAGTAAGATGCACGTTTACTGTTTTTTAACTCATAAGTGTGTATCAATAAGAATTTCTATCGGTCACTATTTATAACGATCAGGAGAATTGTGCGTTGCGAAGTATTCTGTAGATAGCAAGTGGTACCGCGCTCGGGTCATAAAAATCGTTCGGCCTGCTCAAGTTGAAGTCATATACATAGATTACGGGAATTTGGAGGTTATATCAACTTGGAATGTTAAAAAGATCAAAGAATCTTTTTGTCTACTACCTCCTCAGGTTAGACTTCTTCAATTTTTTATATTTGTTATTTTCAGTTAATTTGAAGCGATGAATTCCGTCTGCCTAAATAATGCTATATCCAATCCATCATTAAGGCGTTTGAATGTTCATTGGCCGGCCTCAGTCCTAAATCAGACGATGGTGAATCAGACTGGCGAGCGGAGGTCAGTTAGCGGCCAAGTTGTTTTTAAAATTAATCTCTAAATTTTTCGTTTGAATTTTGTAAAGAAATTTTATCGTCACTTATATTCAATGATAAAAAAATGGTACATACATTTTTAAAAATACATAAAATTATTTATATAACTGATGCATAATTGAATTAGGCCACTGAATTTTTGAATGGACTGAAAGAAGATTTCTATCAGTGTCTGGTTGTCGGTTCGTGCGCTTATATTTGTTCATGTATGTAATTCGTTGCAGGATTCAATAATGTTTTGAATTTTTTTTGTAACATCCAATCAATAACAGGCCGGGAAAAGGAGAAACTGTCGATATATTTGCTGGCGTCTGATTCCTCCTTAGTTAATGAAACGCTGGCTTTTCGAGGATGGGCTTCGAAGATGTTTGATGCGTCAGTGCCTATTTATTCCTTTTCATTTTTCGCCTCATTTCATTGGCTTTCATCTTGCCCTTTTTATGTTTGAAAATATTAGATAATGAAATTTAATTATTTTAAAATTTCGTTTTAATTACTGAAACGTGAAAAAATGGAAACGAAATGTGGATGTTAGTAATTGAAAACTCATAAAATGTTAGAAACAATAATGATATGAAGAATAGTAAACAATCGGTCTAATAAGGATTTGATTAAATTGAATCTTAATCATGTATTAAGTGATTCTTTTCAATAAATAAAAACATACAATTGCTATAACATCTGACATCTGTTGAAAAACAAAGGACATTGCTAGCCCCATCGACGTTTTCATCGTCTGCTTCTATTTTGCCTTTTTTATCATTTTTATATCGCGTTTTACCACTTTTATATCGCTCTTTGTCATCTGATTAACATTTTTTTACTTGATTTTTTATCGAATAGTTTGTATTTTTAGGCTTTCTCCAACGACTAATCCTAAATTTACAACAGCCTTAGCCTCAGTTTTCGTGTTCATACACAACTTTTCAGTAGGTTGCGTTCATGTTTAAACGTTTGGTAGCATAAACGATATTAAAGAAATTTCTTTAAACATTGCTGAAGATTCAAAATTAAAATTTCACTAGAGGTACTTTCATTTTTTCTGACATAGATTGTGGTTCTTTAAACATCAAATTTTATCACTTTTTTTGACATGAACATTTGATTCAATTAGACAATAATAGATGATGGTCTCCTTTTAAACAGCAGTCAATGATATTTTTTCTCAATTACTATTCTGATGTTTTTTTTTTAAATAGAATATTAATAAAATTGCTGAAAATTTGTACCACAATGAAAATAAGTGTGCAAACTTTTCAATATAAGAAAATTGGAATAAGTGCCCTAGTGGTTAAGATAATAATTTTTAGTGGAATCATTGATCCTTTCAAACGAAGAATGTTTACATTTTAATTATCATCATATCATATTCCACCGTGTAGGGCTTTCAAAACAGCCAGAGTTCAACAGATTTTGTATGAATATTATTTGTATGGATGGAATAAAGTTGAGAGTTTAGATTGAAAAGTAATAATAAGATTAATAAGATTAACTCGATAGAAAAGCTATAATTAACTCTATGTTAGACTTGGCAGTGTAATGAATTTAACATGAGTTATCTTAGTCTCTGTCATTTGTTGGAGTGATGAAAGATTTTATTCTGTTTTTTCATTGATCAGTCAGCAATTTAATTTAATTTTCGAGATTTAGTTAATGGAGTTATTTCTTATTCTTATTAACTTATTCTTTCTTTTATTTATATCATTGTAGGACTCCTATATTGAAAAAATTCCAGGATGCATCCAAGGTAATTGTTGAATTACTATGATGATGCCTGACGTATTCATTTGCAGTTAATCAATTATACTAAACAGAAAAAGGTCAGGGAAGCTACATTAGAAGTTGATGTGGTGCACATCGTCTCACCTGGGTTGTTTTATGTTCGTTTTCCACAGCAGACTAAAGACCTTACCAAGTATGGCTTACGTGGAAATTTATAAATTCAAATATGTCAATTTCCATCATATTTTTCAGATTCATTTCTGAACTGAATGAATTTGTTCGCATCTCTGGTTTAAAGCAAAACTGCACACCCTATGCATCGGTGAATGAATTGGAAGAAAAAGATTCGCTGAATCAATCACCTCTTTCTCCAAGTGAAGAAAAATCTTCAGTTGATTCATCTCGGTGCCGTGCGTGTGGCGACGTCTGTCTTGTTTACGATTCCATTTTGCAAAATTATATGAGGGGTGTCATTAGCAAAGTTGACCTGTCCACGCAAACGGCCACGGTTAACATTTTTTTTTATTGATTTTGCCGTTGGATATTTATTAGGAAGATTTTATTAATGGTGGATGCGTTCAAAGCTATTTTTAACTCCAGTTGAAATATAGAATGGGATTCGGTTTTACATGTTCATTGTTGCACGAACATGTAAAAACAAAATTTTTAATCGATTTTTTAAAGTGATTAAAAGTTTATAAGATTTAAATCCTTGTAAAAATGTTTCACTTATACGGTTTGCTAAGAAAATAAATTTTTCAAAAATGTAGAAATTAAATTATTTTGATAGAAATGTATGAATGTAGAAATGTAGGAAGGAATACTGCTAAGGGATGAAAATTAATGAATTAGTGATATAAATGAGATTTTGTGGAGATATGAAAAGAAGTCGAATTGTCTCAAAGAAAAATGAAGTACAAGAAGGACTTACGATGCTCCAACGTTTGTTCAGTATTGTTCACGAAGCTTTCACTTGTGCATAATATTCTTACTCTTCCTTGTCTCAACGACCATCTACTTTACTATTTTACTGGATTGCACGTTTTTAAGTTCATCATCAACATTTACTGTTTGCAATGGAATTACAACAAATGTAGAAGGATTATTGTAAGCAGAGTTTTAACAAGAAGCAAATTGCATTCAGCAGAATTTAAGCTAATTGCATGAAGAAATTTAATTGTTTTTTTAAGATTGATTAGAAATAACATGTTGATTAACTAATCTATTTATTTATATGGCAATTCTATTAACGTATTAATTTTGCAGGTACATATGATGGATCATGGCTCATCACAAAGAGTTGCAATATCTTCAATAATGACTCTACCTGATCGTCTAAGAAATAAGCCAGCATTGGTGACGAAGTGCCATTTGTTCAATGTCGTGCCAGCCGGTGGAGGTCGCGAATGGTCGCAAATCTCAACCGAATCCTTCAGTAAGCTATCCCAGTCTGTCAGTCATTCCTTTCAAATTTTACTTCAGGTGGGGCATTTTCACATGTTCATTCAGTAATTTCTCGCTAATTTATTTACTTATTACATTATGCTATCAAATATATTAGAAAATGAAAAGATGTTATTATTTATGGTAATAATTGTAAATTTCACTAATACTATTAAGATTCCTTTTATAATTATATCGTTGGTAGCCATTAAAATGTAAAATCACCTCATATGAGTTAGTCTTTTTTGACAATTTTTTGACAATGTACGAAGAGCAATAACAAAGAGCAACTGCCTGAAGCTGTTGCACGTCCTTCGACTTTGTCAACTACACAAGCATTATACACAAAGATTCTAACTCGGACGCAAAAGAAATGTAGAAATTATTTTCGACAGTATCATTTAAGAGCCTCCATTTGAGTCGCATTTTACACGTTGAAAGCAGAAACGCCCAAGGACTATGGAACGTCCGTAATTAGTTTTCAAACCACATTTTATCAACTTTTCTGTTTTTCTTCAAACCAACATACCTAATTGATTTTCTCGAAATTTTGCGACAATCATTCAACAACCATTTTTCGCCAAAATTTTCTGATGGCAGTAAAACTGGAGTATCTTGTCCCTTTTCTTCAAGACCACTTTTTGAACTTTGTATTTTGGCGAGGGAGAGATTATTAGCAGAGATTCATATAACGTTGCATGAACATATACAGTACATTCGTGTAAACATTAATGTATACTCCGGCCAAGCACATAAGCTGACATGTGAATTGCAGTTATTTAATGTTCGTAAACTGACTCATTTATAGTTGAAGTTTTGGAAATAATATTTTTTTGCTACAAAAATTATTTTCATTCGTTAACTTCCATATAATTCCATTTCGTTTATATGTTTGTAAGGATTTTATGATAAGAAAGCGTGACGGCTATGTTTTTAACAGGATGATGAATGGTCGTCAGAACTGAGCGATTCATTGCCAGTTGATCTATCTTACAAAGATCCAACTCCCGGTTCCTCTGGAGAGAGTCGCTTAATGTTGTCGGAATATCTTCTAATGATTGGATTGGCATTAAAGTTTACTAAAATGTATTTTTAGATTTTGAGCATACATTTTGTTAATTTTGATAATTTTTCAAATGTAGTGTTAGGTAAAATCGTTCTTCTATGTTTTAGGTCAAAGTAATAATTGAATAGTACCATTTTTGTAAAAAAATTTACTCGAAAGTGAATAAATGTAATAAATGCAAGCTAATAAATGTTATTTACACTTGCTCCTCTACATAGTTTTCCCACTTTTTGAGTTAATACAGTTCACGAGTATTTTTCATGTTTAATTTTTTTTGCATTAATTTTTTTTTTAAATCTCCATTTGTATCATTTGATTATGAAAATTTATTTTAATTTTATTTTTTTTCATTTTCAAATATTTTAGATTAAAAAATTCTTCAGTAGTTGATGATGATCAAAGGCTTGAGAGTAAATCGAATGTCAAATCTCTAACAGCCTCTGACCCATCTGCAAACGATATTGAACTTGCACCACAGACTCAAGAGTTATCGATTAACGAACAAGTGAATTGTAAAGAATCCTGTGTTGATAACAATTCTAAGATGAAAGTGCATTTGAAATCGAAAAATAGAAAATGTTGGGGGGATAGTGAAGAAGACGATGAGAAAGAAGACGTCGATGATTTTGTAGCTGTTATGTGTGATGATGGTTCACTGGTTGATGCCAAAGAAACTGAACTCTCCACAGAAATGCAGGATGTCGTTGTGGATGAAAACTATCCACCTCCGACCGCTCTTGTTGGAGAAGAAATAACTGTCTCATTCACCCATTTAGATGATGAAGGAACGTTCCATTTCCAGGCTTATTCGTCCGGTATGAATTATTTTTATTGTTAGTGTTGATCTTTTATTTTAAAATTGTTACGCGCTGCTATGCCAGATCCAAGCGTTCAAAACAGCATGCAAATCGAAGTGGACAATAGGTGCAATCTAACGAGAACAACTCAAAAGGTTTGGAAGACTGGTCAGTTGGTTTCATGCCTCTACAAATCAGATGGCTATTTTTACAGGGGTAAAATATTAAAAGCTTACAATCAGAAGTTAATAGCAAAGGTTATTTTCAAATGAATGCTATTTTTTTTCTTGCTTTAAATAGAGTTGTTAATTTTTTTTACAAGCTATGTAGCAAAATAGTTTAGCATAATTCTGCAACAAACAAACTTGTTAATTTTAAATTTCCTTTACAGGTTCTCTTCGTTGACTATGGAAATATAGAATTTGTTGATTACTGTGACATCAGTCATCCATTATTTACTGATTTCCCTGTACTGAGCTACAAATGTCAGTTGAACAATTACATTTGGGTGAGTTTAGATTTTATTTTTCATCATTATCTTTCTCAGTGCTTTTTATGTTCACTTGTTTCTAATGCCATCAATTAGCCATTTTTAATTTTATGTTGAGGATTTGTTGTTGATGTTGTTTTTGTTGTTGTTGTTGATGATGTTGTTGTTGTTGTAGATGTTTTTGTTTTTGTTGACCGAGAGTTCTCTGACTCAAGCTAACTGAGGATTGCCCACACCACCACTCCTCTGCGCATTTTCTAGCATTATCATTATTATCAGAACATTTATATAGCGCCAGTTAAATCAATATCACCATGGATTCATGTCAACAACTTATTACAAAAATTCCAGAAACCAATCATTAGATACACAAAAATAAGAGTTGCATTGACAATGACCAAGCCTAATAAATAAACTTATAGCAATATCCATGCGTACATAATAGCAAAATTGACAAAGTGAACCATTTTCCATATAAGAGTCCAATCCAATCTCTGAAATGTTAACCTGCTAGTGACTGCGAAAAGGTTAAATTGCTTTAATAATTTATACACTTTTTCAGAAGAAAGTGGATAAATCGGTTAATTCAAAGCTAATAGACTTGACCTCTTTAATAATATACAACAACGGTAATGATCTGCTTCTCCACATAAAGGTTTGTCTTTCATTGCATTGCGTTATAACAATTTCAAAATATTTTTAAATATTTTGTCACTATAATGTAAACATCTCTATTGATGCAAGAATTAAGTTATTCATTAAATTTTTAATGTTTTTTATAACTACTGAGTGACGTTTCTAAAAAAAATTATAAATTTTTTTCATTTAAAATAAGTGTTGATAAATATAAATACTTTTTTTTAAAAAGTTGTTAAAATAACTGTCTCCCAAATTGACCGTAGCCATTAATGTTGATTGAGGTTTTAATGAATCAAGGAGGCTAAAACTGAACTTACCAATAGTTCAAAAGGGGTCCTTATCGAATTTGTTGTAAGACGTTAACAATGTTATAGAATTTGGTGAATATTGAAATGTTTTTTGCCTAATCTAGTTGGTGTGTAACCTTATCCATTCCAGCCTTTTTACTTTTACCATGAACTACTTAATCATTTTAAGGCGTGATGGCTTAGTGGTTAAGGTCGCCTGGTGCTGTTTCGAAGAGTGTGCAGTCACTGAGTTCGACTCGATTGTATGACAAAAAATTCCCGCTTATCACATGCTTCGTGTGTGATGTATCATTTAGCGTGTATTCATATACGATGTTTGCGTGTTGTTAATTCTATTGAACCTAGGAATAGTGTAATTGACCTTTAACCTTTTTTAACCTTTTAACTAATACACTCAATAATTTTTAACAAATTCAATTGATTTTTTAGGATCGGTCCAAAGAAAAATCGGATAATTTGTACGTGGCCGATGTATTTCTCGGGGGAAATATTCCGTTAGTTCCAATAGTGGAGTGTGCAGAACAACTGTTAGATTCAAATAAACAAATTAGCATTGAACAACTTCTGTCTCATCCGCTGCTCTGTCATCGGCTACATCAGCCACATGATTTTCAACAGCCGTCAGCAAATCAGAGGCGTCAAGCATTGCTGGTCACTCCTTCGCCATCAACGTCTTTTCATCATTCTACGTTATTAGACTCGGATAAATGCACAAAATTAAAAAACATTGACACCTCTTATGTCAAAACTTTCGTTAGCTTTTATATTTAATTTTTATCAACATATAGTATAAACTTTTATATTGTGATGATTCTGTAATTTTTTTATTCTATCACTGTGTTTTCACGTTTTCATTTGCTAGCAACTTGTTTACTGGTTTTTCTTTTTAAATTGTTCAGATGGACAAATTAAAAAATATTGACCCACGAAATGCCTCTGGTCCGGTGACAGATGATTTAAAAGAAGATTTTGATGCTGGCTCCTCTGAAGCATCTAAACTAATGAAAGCCCAACGTCCAAAAGGATCAAATGTAATTGCTGCAAAAAAGAACGTAAAATGTTTCCATTCAAAGTTGAATAAAGGTAAGGCTGATGCTGGTCAGAGTTCTGAGGGCAGAGAAAATGCGAAGCCTCAAATTTCGATGATATTAAAAAAGAAGCCAAACGAAATTCGCGAAAATGTGGTGTGGTAGTTTTTTATTTTGACAATTTGAAAATGAATATATTGACGTGGGTTATATATTTTAATTTTAAATAAAAATTTTGCAGTTAATATATCCTGAGCCTCCATCTCTGCAGAAGGGAGATGTCATCACCTGTGTCGTTACCTGCACCTTGAATGAATCCGAAGTACGCTAGCTACCTTCATCTGTTTGTTTGTTTTACTGTCTGTCTGTCTGTTTGTTTGTTTTATTAATTTAACTATTTTTGTTATTCTGCATTTATTTGTTCACATTGGTAATATTCTTATTACTGCGTTTTTCCGCTTTCCAATATTCAAGTCATAAATTAAAAAAATCAATGTCTATTTCTAATGTTTGATTAGAAATATATTTATCTTGTATATTATGTTTCGAATCTTGCTATATAATTTTTTTTCTTATCAAATAGTATTTATCTTGTTTTCCAAGTTTTTTCATTAATATAAACACGAATTTATCTAAACTAGAGCTTTATATTTCAGATTTACATTCAGAGAATTTTGGCCCAAATAAACAATCCCTCGGACGAAATATGGAAAACTGTGATTATGATGCATTCGCAAATGGAGAGAGATCACCAGCAACATTATGCTGATTATAAACTGCTCAACATCGCTGAAACTAAAAAAGGTACTCGTCCATCAGTATTCTGTTGTCATTTTCATGTTTTTCTTTTATGAACTTTTAGCACAATTTAGGCTAATTATTTATTTTTCATCTCAATTTAATGAATGCTAAAATTCAAAAAACTTTAATCGTTGCTCTTAGAATAAATACACTGTACAGAATTTTAAAATTTAGGTTCGCCATGTTTAGTGAAAAGCCACAAAGACAACAGGTGGTATCGTGGCTTGATTCTTGATAGCTTTCAATCGTATGATAAATATTCCTGCTATGTCAAACTTATAGATTTTGGACAGGTTGAAAAAGTTCATGATTGTGGAAGGTTTGTTATACATGTTTGTTGATTTTTTGCATGTTTGTTGTTTTCTTGCATGTATCTAGTTTTCTTGCATATATCTAATAATGTATCTTGCAGATATCTAATTATCTAATACATCACGTTTATTGTTTTCTTCCATATTTCTTGTTCTTTGCATGCTTGTTGGATCATCTGTGATAATTTTTTTAACGTGATTGTCAGGTTCCGAGAGCTTCCTGTTGAGCATTACGCATTTCCACGTCTCTCCATAAAGTGTACAGTTAATTTTCAACACTTGAAAAATGACCTCAACATTAAAAATATTGAACAACTTAAAAGCAAGATTTATTCTGCTTACATCAACGTTCGTTTTAAATTTCGTTTGTTCATTTATTTTTATTGTACTGTAGACAGAAACTTTAAGATTCAGACAGAGTAGGTAAACCGTTCATCCTGCAATGGTTTTCAGTTCACTTTCTGGTTGCGTTCCTGAGAGCTCTACTGTGGTTTAATTTTGATGCTGACAGAACTATGGTAGTTGATGAACAAGACAGCGTAAAATATTTCAGTTAAGTTTGCAAGGAAGAAGCTGTTTTAAAAATAGAAAAAGTTTGGGTGTAATGTGTTGAAGGTATCTGAGTTCATTGGAACTTCAAAATACGTAATATAATGCGACGCGCTATCCCATCATAAGAGCAGAGCAATTAGATATTGGCTCGAGCATAAATATTTTTCATCACTCCTTCCAGATTTATTAGGATAAAGAAATCTGGTTTTCCAAAAACTTCTACTCCTGAAAAAACTTACGATCTTCTCTAACTCTTACAACTCACTGATTTATTTTTTCCCATGAAGATTTTATAAATTTCTTTCATTGAAAATTAGTGGTGGGTAGTTAGATACACGACTACAACTTTAAAGTAGCTACAAAATGCATAAATACAATATTTATATTATTTACAAATTCTTTTATAAAAATGGGTAAATGTCTAATTCGAGAGAAATGCATGGATAACATAATTGATATTAAAAAATATATACAATTTGACTTGAAAATTTTCAATTATTGTGTGATTTTGTTCTCGTTTGTTTTTGTTTGTTCAGTGGCTGGTTAGCTGGTTGGTTTCTTGCTTACACCATTAAGTAGTTTTCGGTCTCATATCAAATCTTATATCGTCTCATTTTATGATGTTTAATGACTATTATAATTTTTGTATTTATCTAATTTATAGCCAGCCACTGTTAGTTAAATTTTGAAATTTATAAAAAAATTGAGTTGGTTGTCAGCGGTTGCTCTGTATGCAGCTGGTTGTCTCTAACTCGGATGTCTTAGAAGTTCAATATTTATATTTATTGTAGATTGAAGCTTAGCATAATATGTTGCTAAATTTTTTGCAGGATCACCAGGAGAATGGAGATTATCTTGTGCATCTTCGCTATCTATAAATTCGTTTTACACGTTATTGACACTGAACTATGTGAACAGAATTGGTACTCTGAATAATTATTTTTATATTCATGCAGAATTTTAGAGAAGTTTTTTATTTTTTTGCTATGCTTTTAAAAAGCTGGTCCCACATGCTACATTTGATTCTTCTTTTAAAGTAGAAAATGTTTTAGCTACTTGATTTATTTTAACGATACTTTAAAATCTTATATGTCGCTGAATCTGCGAATGTAAACCAGTTGAATGAATGCATTCAGTAAAACTTTCGAACTTGTCAACATCTACCCGGAATAATAAACGGTTAGAAAGCTTAAATCTTGGTTGAATTGCTCTGCGGTCGAAAGTGTGTGATGCTTTGGTGCGTTGTCTTGTCCGTTTTGTTTTAGTTTAGAGTGTTGAGAGCTAGAAATAATTCTAAGCAGACTGAGCGATAAAAATTTTATTAATCGGTTAAATATTTTATTGACAATTCAGGTCGTTAACAATTTACCAATACGAAATGTACACTACAAAATTTTGGCGGAATTAAATCATTTGATGAGATTACGCTTTTGACTTTTTTTTAATACCAATCCTTTCAATTTTTACATAATAAGTTATCGTTTATGAACTGAGTAAGGGTTAATTTCTTAAGACAAATGTCCACTTTGAACGTTTTGATTCGTTGCGTTCGAACTCGGGGTGACTGTTCTTCAAGAAAATATTTCAAAAACACCAAAGCATCCAATACGAACAGGTAGCTAATGATATGCTATCGACACAAATACCTACTTGAGCGTGTGGCGTGCACTTGCTTTCTGATAAAATAACAGCAGACAAGTTTGCAGCATGTACTCTACGTGTACACTAACAGCGTCGCATTTGTAATTAAAATTAGCTTGCTTCTTACGTTCTAACAGGATATTCATTTCTACTTTTTAAAAAATATCTGATAAAGAATTGTTTTAATTTATAAAATATGTCTGAAAGTGAAAACCAAGGAAGGCCTTTGGTAGAGTTGTTCGTAAAAGTTTGTAACTCGGTTTATCCATTTTTAAATTGTAAAGAAGGCACTTGGCTATGTTTAATGCGAATGATCGTTTAGCGTGTTAGTGTTTAATTCAAGGTTTAATTTCAATTTTGAGAAAATATTTTGACGACAGTAAGTATTTTTCAACATTTATTTGTTACCCGTGTCGAAAGAAAAGCTTTTAAAATTTGAATTTTTGCTAGGTTCAAAAATTTTAATTTCCATCTTTTCAAAATGAGACGATCGCCGCGTGGTTTCAGACTAAATTGTTGCATTTTTTATAGTTTGTGAAAAGTAGAAAACATTACTAACTAATTTTTGACTCATGCAAAGAATATTTACATGTTTAAAGTGAAAAAAAAGATTGAAAGACATTTTAAGCACATCGTAATATAATTTATATGTACATACATGGATGTTTTTGTTTGTCTAGAGTGGTGATTAATAATGAATAATAATGTTATGCGCGCGTAGCAGTTAATTTGTACCAGAGAACCGAATTTTAAATCATCCATCATGCAAACGCCGCAAGGTTTTCACAACACATTAAAATATCTTCTTGGTGGATTTTAGCCGTATCAGGCATTTGTCTAAAATTTAAATGTAAGTGTATGTGTCCATACGTCCATACATGTTTTATAACTACAGAACTACTACCACTACTGCTACTACTACTATTATTATTGGTGTGTTTGTAAGCGCCCTTTAAAAACATCTCAGGGGCGCTAACGATTATTACAGCGCATTGCGTAGCACTTTACTTAAAGCAATGCAATGGATGGAGAGAAAAGACATTAGCAAGGGTAAGTTTGGACAAAAAGATGGTGTTTTAACTTTTTACGAAATTGAATAACAGACAACGCAGGATCACGAAGGTCCCTAGACAAACATGTATGATAGTTATTTTCTGTCATTATATTTTATAAAGTTTGATGAAGTGCCATATAAATAGATAGATTGGTTAATCAATAAATTAATATAATTGGTTGAATGAATGAATAAATGATTGATTAATTAGTTGATTGTTTGATTGATTTTTATTAATTGTATGTTTGAATTCACGAATTTGATAACATATATCTAGGTAAAATAAATAATAAAGTGACTTCCATAGTGATGGATTAACTTTTTTGCAATAAAATAAAAGAAAAATTTTAGGTAATATTTATATTATACGTTGTGAAAATGTATTATATTAAGCAATCTAGAAAGAAAAGAAATGTCTTTCTTCTTGCAAATTCATCAACAAGAGAACTTGGGTCTGGTTCTTGCAAAATTTCTTTTAAATACATATATAGAATGGCGAGATTAATAAGCAGTTTTTTCCGACTAGTGGTCACAGGTAACTTGACTCTCACCTCAGACAAAACGGTTTTACTAGGATTGCAGTACAAAAGTATACTATATCGGAAGATTATTTGGATATAGGCACAACAACTTATTTCCCCATATCTACTGATATAACCAGTTTGGAGTTTTTGTCAAACATGGCCAAATAAAACTAAGTGCAATAATTCAGAGTTAAGGTGTCATTTCTAGGTTTTTCGGAAATAAAAATCCAACTATACTATTGACAAAATTTTCTATATGAATAATGAATTTCATCATTGCTTTGTGATGATGACTTATGTTCATTAAAACGAATTGCATCATTTTGAATGACTTGGAAATATATTAAATTTTAATGATAACAAAATTAGAAAACTCTAAAAAATTATGAAGAAATTTGATAACTGTGAACAACAATCGATTTAAATTTGATGACTACGAACAACAATCGATTTTAATAAAGTCTATTTACAAGAACTTCTGTCCAATTAAAAAAAAAATAACACACACACACACACACAGGTGATTTCAACTTTCACATTGAAAGGACTGTATATATATATATATATATATATATATATATATATATATATATATTGAAAGGATATATATATATATATATATATATATATTTAGGAACGAGGTTTTCATTAATACATATTTTGTTAAATTTATTTGCCCATTTTGCATTTATCAACTTTTTTATTATAGACTCAACACAGCGTAGTTTTTGACATTCATATTTATTGTGAAATTGTGACATATTAGAAGCTGACAACGTTGTTTCGGCTAGGTAGCCATCATCAGAGCCTAAAACCAATGAAATATAAGAAATTTAATTAAAATAAATGAGAATTAAACGAATTATGTAAATTATTTGGCGGACATGACAGATAAGATATTAAAAATAAAATTGGAATTGAAAGTGAAGTTAAAATGGTACCTTGCGAAGGATGTAACCTAAAAGATAAATTTAATACTAAAACATGAAATTAAATAAAAGTTACTAATTAATAAAAGGTAAAATAAATGAAAATAAACTTCCAACTTTCCAGTTTATTTTCATTTATTATTTAGTATTAAATTTATCTTTATCTTTATATTTCATTGGTTTTAGGCTCTGATGATGGCTACCTAGCCGAAACAACGTTGTCAGCTTCTAATAAGTCACAATTTCACAATAAATATGAATGTCAAAAACTACGCTGTGTTGAGTCCATAATAAAAAAGTTGATAAATGCAAAATGGGCAAATAAATTTAACAAAATATATATATATATATATATATATATATATAATCTTAAAGAAAATAAAAACGATGGAAATAATTGATTACGTATCTACATTTATTGGATTAAATATATATCTAAAAAACTACCATATTTCAATATTTGTAGGTGTAGATGCTTTAATTCACCTCAAGACTTGTTGCAAGAATTAGTTATTCCTCCCAAAATGCTCTAGAAAAACTCGTTGCTTTGAATGATTTCAACCGTAAACTACTTTTGAGATCAGAGGTAATGACGGTAAAACAGCAAAAACTTCGAAATGCATGCACTTTTGTTCTGAATAGTCAGCTTTCAATCTTACACCGCTTAGAACATTTGCAAAAATATATATTGACTCAACAAGAATGGAAATGTTTTTCTGCAATGACACTCTTATACAATAAACTCAAAAATAAAAATTTGTCTTAATTTTTAAAAAGACCTCATTTTAATTTGCACTGAAATAAGTTAGAGCAGTTGGATTTGACCGTGTTAGGTATATACTTTTGCAAACAAACAAAATTTCAATCCTGTTTCAAAAAAATGAACACAGACACGTAGTAATAGATAAAAACGCATATAAATGTTTTATAACATGTTTTTATGCAAAACACCAAGTTATTTTAAATCATCAAACAATATGTCTCAAAAATTACTGTCAAGAGCTTTCGTGATATTGAAAGTATTTAAAAGTTCAAGTTGATTTATCTTTGGATAAATCAAATTTCATGCATAAATTTCGAAGAACAAAGTTCTCCACTCCAAATAATTTTGAAATCATATCATCGCACTTGCATGGCAAACTTATGAATGTGTACATGATATGCAAGCGTTTTAATGCCATACACCTATAGCTATAACTAAAATTAAATTGTTTTATTTTTGAAGGTGGTCACAGACATTCATGTTTTACCAATTTCAATTCTGTTCACAGTCTCCCCCAAATTCAAAAATTATTTGTCTGTTTGATCTCTAATGTAAGAAATAATTTTTGAGAAATCATTTAAGTGCTAGTGAAGATTTACAATATCATGAGATAAGAAAAAGGTGCAATTATAAAATTGCTAGATAAAAATGGAACAATTGAGTCACAGTTTTGTTTTAGTGAAAAAATTGAATTAAAATCAAAAACCAAGCTTAGTTTTGACGAAACGTTCTTATCAATTGTTATCAAACATTTTTCACACCTTCTGTTTAATCAAATAGATTCGAATTTTAGAACAATGCTTAGTCGGTCACTTAGATTTTTAACATAATATAATATCTCATTCATTGATGTTAATATAAAAGCCATCGGCAAGTACACAAGACCACCGAATTAAATTATTTTAATAAATTTCAGATAAGAATCTTTGAGGGCATGGCGATTTTTGCTCTCTCTTCTAAATATTCAATTTATATTTTTGTCTTGAAATATTAAGTAAAATATTTAAATTATAAAATATTTTGATTAATTTATATCATTCGAAAATGATTCAAAAGTTGGCAACACTGACCAGTTCTCATAAGTAGACATCATACTTATAGATGAATATTAAAAACAAAAAAAAGTATTGAAAAAAGACTTTCAAAGAATATAGTAGCCAATCAATGAAAATGTAACAAACTTTTACATCATTTAAGTTCAAAATAAAAATATATCTATTTTTATATAATTAAAACTTACAATTGCACTATAAATCTTTTGTCTCTTCCTTGGCTTCATTGTAGGCTGAGATGTTCGATGACATCCAGTTTTACGTCATCAGCCGATGTTCTTGGTTGAATTTGTTCGTGACGGCTTTTAAAATTTATAAACCAACTACCAATCAAATAATGGTATCGCATCTTCCAACTAAATCAGCTTTTTTCATCAAGGGCGAATGTTATTCAAATTACTTTTTTATTATCAAAGTCTAAAATTGTCCTCTCAAATTGTAATTGTGGGATTTAAATTATTGTTGCGATGATGTCTCAATCAGTGCTGTTAAGTACAATTTAAGGTATTTAATTAATTACTTAATACAAACTGAATCAATTATTTTGCTATATAAAGTACCAAAAAAGTTAATTTCACATAAATAAAAATAAAATTGCAGGCCATAAAGTACCAAAAAAGTTAATTTCACATGAATAAAAATAAAATTGCAGGCCGCCGTTGACAAAATGAGATCAGGCGGATGTCCGATATGTCATCGATACTTCATGATATTTTACATTCTTCGTGAAAAAGGTTTTATCGATTTGGTAGTAACTACATTTCTTCCAGAAAATCCTCCAAGAGAAATTTTAGATTTTAGCACTGGAAAACATTATCCGCTAGTGAAGGTAATTTTTTTACAATTAACCTATATTTTAAAGCTATAAAATTCGATTCAATTGAAATTCAGGTATCTTACGGCAAGGACAGATACGGCAAATCTATGGATGGAGTAGAATGTGACACTGTGGATGAAATTGAAGCTTTGATTGACAGATTTGATTGCGACGAAATGGCCTCAAGAAAGGAATCAGCCGCAGAGGCAGCGGCAGAACAAGCCTTTGATGGTCTTTTCACAGTAAATAACTATATATATTATTAATTTTATACACACATACACACACGTACACACACGTATATATATATATACATATTATATATATATGTATGTATATATATATATATATGGGTGTGTGTGTGTGTCATATATACAATTAAGTAGTTTGATCTGGAGAAATTTTTTATACATTTATTATAATTACAAAATTTAGAAATTCAATCAATATCTGAGATCGGAAAAAGAAGAAATAATCCCATTGTTGAAATGTCTTGAAAAGCTTGAAAGTTATCTGAAGAGCAGTGAGTTTGATTTTCTTGTGGGGAACTACCTTAGCAGAGCTGATTGTTATCTGCTTCCAACACTTCAACATATTAGAGTGGCTGGCAAGGTTACTCCGTGTTTCGTAGTTTTCAAATTATCATTTTTTTTGTATATTAACAATTTTAACTTAAAAATAATGTGAAAAAACATTTTTCGAAAAAAGTCGTCGTCATCAAACGAAAAATTAAATTATTTTATACACGTTTATACAATATATATATACATATATTCATATTATTAAGAGATATATATATATATATATATATATATATATATATTATAGAGATATATTATTATAGAGATATATATTATTATAGAGATATA